GAGGAGCCCTGCTCGTCTCAGGAAGCGCCACGCCGGCCTGCGTCACGGCTGCGCCCACGCCCGTCCCCAGCGGGTTCCCGGGTCTCCACGGCGGGGACGTTCGGTGGGCGCTGCCCGGCCCCCCCAGGCGGCGGCGCCTCCCCTCGTCTCAGCCAGGTTCTCCCCGGCGCTGAGTAGCGTGAGTTGGTTTCTGGGCCCTGGCCCTGGTCAGCTAGAGCTCGCAGGCCTGCCCGAAGCGCTCGCCACTGTCCTGCTCCCCTCCTGGCTTGGTGCCAGCCGAGTGAGGGCGTACGCGCACCCCGGAGGCCACTGGGCTTTGGGGTGCCTCTCACGGCTGACGTTTGCATTTTCCTATTTTCTCGGTAGCAGCTGAAGTGTGAAGAAGCTGCTGCTTCTGCAAAGTCACGTACGTGGCTGTGAGCAGCTCGCGTTTGTCTGCTGAAAAGCTCTCCTGGAGCCTGAGGGGTAACTGCCAGTGAAGTATTTTTGTGGGGGCCCCTGAGGCGCAGGGGTTAAAGCGCAGCACTGAAGCCGGCCGCAGCCGCTGCAGCCTGGGCGCGACCCCCGGCAGGGAGGGGCCCGCAGTGCAGTGTCCCCTCAGCCGCCGGCCTGCTCTGCTGCCCGCTAGCCTCGGGGGACCCCTCACCCCCGCCGCCACTCTGGCCTGTGGAGGCGCCTTCGTGGGCCGAGCGCGGGGTGCGGCAGGGCTCTCCCCGCGCCCCCAGCAGGCCCCGAGCGCCGCGTCTCGCTGTCCGCACTCTCTCCCTGCCTTGCCCGTCTGGGGTTTTGATTGGACGACCTGGTGTCCTCTGGGTCCACCTCCTGGACTCCGGCTTTCTGGGCCCGGCGTGTCGTCCCACGGTGAGGCGCCAGCCTTCGTCCCGAGCCTGTCTGTCCCTGTGCCACGCCCTGGGGGCCGCCGGGCGCCCACGTGCTCCCGCCTGGCTGCACACGCGGCCTCACGGCTGGCATCGCCCCTCGGCGCCTGTTTCCCACGGCCGCGTCAGCTCTGGCACCTTCCCATTGGTGCCGACCGTCCACGCCTCTCGATTTGGGGAGGGTCTGTCACCGTCCACTGGTGCCCCTCGTTCCACGAAGGGTCAGCCCTCGGGTGTGGCCGTGCAGGCTGGCTCAGCGCCCCGGGCCGAAGCCGCGCCGCCTGGTGGCCTCCCGAGGGGCCAGCTGGCCCGTGGTCACCGCAGATGTGCCAAGGGCAGCGGGTCCCGAGGGTGGCACCTGGCCAGCACCTAGTGTCCAGGCAGCCATGCGTCACGTGTGGGTCACGTGCGGCCTCATGGGCCATGCCAGCTGCAGACCCTGGCAATCTCGGGGCTCCCTGGTGGCAAAACCGAAAGATGGGGCCTGGACAGAGAACGTCGGCCGCCTCGTCCCAGGTGGGGGAGGCCTCAGGCAGAGGGAGTGTGGGGGCGCTCGCCTGGCCTGGCCGGGAGGCCTGCAGGCTCCTGAGCTGTGCAGGGCAGCTGCTGGCCACTGGGGCCCTTGAGGAGCAGCCAGTTCTCAGCTCTGCCTCTTACGGGTCATGCTGGTTTGCAGAGCTAGTGTGTTGGGGCTCATCTCGGGTGCAGGGGTTAGAAGTTGGGGTGTGCATTGTGACCCCTGGGAAGACCAGCCCAGGCCCCTCCGGACCTGCGTCCCCACAGTGGGGGTATTCAGAAATCTCTCGTGTCACTAAGGCTCCGGTGTCTGTGGGAACGGAGGTCCAGGGTGGACACCAGAGCTCCCTCAGGGCCACCACGCGGCAGCTCTTGGCCAGGGGACTGGCCCCAGGCCTCCCGGGGTGCGCCGGGCTGGAGCGCAGACCCTGGCCGCTCGGCCGCGCGCGAGGCAAGCTCTCCTGGGCACCAGGACGCCTGAGGCCAGGCCCCGGGGCCCCACGCGGACACAGGCGTCACGTCGAGAAACCTTTTATTGGCACCTTCTCTCCTAGTTAAATTACAGGGACGCGGTGATTTCTGAACAGCCGGCTTCCCCGAGCCGGGTTCGCGGGGCGCGCGGGGCGGGGAGCCGGCGGCGGGAGTC